CCGAGTGATCACTCTGTACAGGCAGAGGGTCATTGGTGGCTAACAGCTGGCGGCGGTTGCGACGATAGGTCACTTCATTCACGCGCACCCAGTAAGATCGCGGCCCAGCTATTCCTGTACAGACGCCAGGGGTCCATGTGCGCTGTCCAGGGAGGCGCATCCGAATGGGCTGACCCACGACCAGAGGGGCCAGGGGCTGCGTCCGACGATTGTAATATTTCGCCTGGCGCAGTTTATTGTCAGCGAGAACACGCGGGAGAGGAGTCGGGTACGCGGGAAGCAAGTTTGACCTGGGAGTAGGCAAAAACGTCCGACAGGCACGTCCAAATATTTTCTGTGCCGGCGACATGTCTGACCCTTCACTGGGCGAATTACGCCACGTCATCAGCGCCCAAAGGAAGTTTTCACCGGAGGCGATAGCCTTACGCATTAGACTCTTCGCCGTTTTCACGGCGTTCTCAGCCTTGCCATTCGATTGCGGATAGCCTGGGCTGGAGGTAACATGATCAATATCCAGGGAACGCAGAAATGCTTTGAACTCACAGCTGCTGAACGGTGGTCCATTGTCACTAACCAGCGTTTCTGGAATGCCATAGCGAGCGAACTGGGCCGCTAGAGCTGAGGTCACATGTGTCACAGTAGTCCGAGTCAGGCGGTCAATCTCCATGAAGTTGGAGTAATAATCTACCAGCACGAGGTACATTGACCCATTAAGTTCAAAAATGTCCGTTCCCAGTTTCGCCCATGGCCGGGAGGGGACCTCATGCGACAATAGCGGCTCGGCCGTCTGAGCCGGGCGATGGGCTAGGCAGGTTGGGCACTTCAGAATCGCTTCTTTTAGCTGGCTGGTCATTCCGATCCAAAACACGTTCTGCCGAGCAAGTCGCAGTATCGATGACAAACCAATATGAGTACGGTGCAGGCGCGAGATAAGGTCCTGCTGAAGAGCGCTGGGAATGACCACACACCTGCCTTTGTACAGCAGTCCGTCCTGTGTGAAAAGTTCGTCATGAAAGCCATGATACGGCCGGAGTGCGTCTGGCAACTGGCGCCGATGCTTCGGCCACCCTGCCAGTACCTGTTTGACGACCCGTGGGAGGACCGGATCAGACTGATACGCGGCCCGTATGGCTTCTAGACGCTCTGGAGACACCGCGATCCCACTGGACAACTCTAGGGATTCGGTCTCCATTGCGAACAGTGAGGATGGTTGCTGAGTTGGAGCACGACTAAGCGCATCAGCGACAGGAATCTCTGATCCTGGTCGGTACACAATGTGAAAGTTGTACCTCTGCAGTGTGAGAAGCATTCTCTGCAAGCGAAGTGGTGCGTCACTGAGTGGTTTGTTGTGTATGGCGACCAATGGCTTATGGTCAGTCTCGACTGTCACTGGCCTACCGTACAGATATTGGTCCAGGCGAGTGAGCGCAAAAGTAATGGCCAATAGCTCCTTCTCAATTTGCGAGTAGGCTCGCTCCGCTACCGTAAGGGAGCGCGAGCAGTACATGACTGGGTTTCCCCGCTGCAGAAGGACAGCGCCGAGGCCATGGCTCGATGCATCGCACTGCACTGTAGCCTCGTCATGTGGGTCATAGTATTTGAGCACTGGCGCTGTTGTAAGCAGCTGCTGAATGGTTTTGAATGCTGTCTCACACTGGGGGCTCCAGTACCAGTCGAAGCTGGCCTGTGTGAGCTGACGGAGAGGTGATACAGTCTGTGACAGGTTGGGGATGTAGCGGGCCAAAAAACTGACCATCCCCAGGAAGCGTTTGAGACTGGGCACATCCGTGGGGGGCGGATAGTCACGCACCGCAGACACTTTAGCTGGGTCTGGTTTCAAGCCGTTAGCCGACAAGACGTGACCCATCCATTTCAGTTCTGTCACTTTGTACCTGAATTTATCAGGGTTCAGACGAAGGTTCCTCTCACGTGCCCTGGCTAGAAATGCCGCTAGATTGCGGTCGTGATCCTGTTCGGCCTGCGCACGCGTGTTGCCGCGACCAAAAACTACAAAATCATCAGCTATGACCTCCACACCCTCAAGACCCCTGATGAGCTCATGCATCATTCTCTGCCAAATTTCGGAGCTGCACTTCACGCCATATGGCAGCCTGTCCCAGATATAGCGTCCAAATGGCGTGTGGAAGCAGCACAGGCGCGCCGACCTAGCTGATAGCCCAATCTGCCAGAATGCACAGGATGCATCCACGAGACTGAATACTTTGGCTCCCGTGAGCCGGGCGGTTACCTCGTCCACAGTGGGTGTGGGATAGTGTTCTCTCCTCACAGCTCGATTTAGGAAACGGGGGTCTATGCATAGGCGAATATCCCCGTTCGGTTTATCCACTATCACAGGATTTGAGACCCAGTCAGTTGGCTCAGTGATGTGAGAAATGACGCCTAGCGTCTCGAGATCGTCCAGTTTTTTCTTAAGTTTCTCACGCACGTGCACTCTCACTCTGCGGGGAGCTTCCACTACCGGGATAGCGGACGGATCTGTCACAATTTCATAGTTGTCCGCCACTAGTCCCACGCTACTTTTGTCAAACACGTCATGATACTCAGCTTTGATGCGCGACTGACCGTCACTCACACACCCCGACCGCGGTGGCCCGGGTGAGGGACGAGCTCTGGGAGGGCCGTGACCCGGTTCAGTAGCGAGGTCACCCCCTGGGGTCACGGCCGGCGGGGGCGGGGCAGGGACATAGTCCAGTGGGTCACAGTCGCGGACGTCAATCAGGCCCAGCTGGACTGACGTGTTCAGGCTCAGTATGGAAGAGATAGCACTGTTCACAACTTTACACTGAAGGATGTGCCTACTCCGAGACACGGGGTTAGTAAAGCACAGGGACCTTTTCCCCTCACATGACACGAGAGCGCCGTCATACATGCGCAGAACGGTATAGCACGGTCTCAAACATGCGCCCTGTGGATCGTCGGTGATACGCACGTAGTCTGTCCATGTCAACACGTCACACTCGGAGCCGGAATCTATCAGAAACGTTACCGATTTTCCCGAGGCGGTCAAAGTTTTGTGTGCTTTTGTGGGTGTCTCACCGGAATGGGCAGCTGTCGACAAAACGTCCCAGTGCTCATGTTGATGTGCACCTGACGCGCCGGGAGGCGGGTCGCGGCGCTGGCCGGCTGGCGGAGTCGCAGTCAGCTGATCGCGGCCGGCGGCGGCGGCGCCGGCGGCGCCCACGGTGGCGGCGAGAGACAGCGGCCGGGCCGCTGGCTGGCGAACTGGTCCGCGCCCGCCAGAGCCGGGCGGGGGACGCCGGGAGCCGCAGATAGTACTGCATGCGAAATGGTTGGCCTGCCCGCAGGCGAGGCAGGCTTTGCCCCATGCAGGGCAGCGAGACCGAACCATTGGGTGATCACGGCCGCAGAACTTGCACTTGCGGGTCGGTTGGGACCGGTTGTGTCCAGAGACGGCGGCCAAGTTGTCTGTTTGCTCACTGTGGGACTCAGTTCCAAACACCTTGAGATCACGATTGGCGGCTTCTTCGGATAGCGCTATGTCGATTGCCATCTGAAGGGTCAAATCAGCTCGCTTCAGCAGCGCTGCTTGTATTTTCTGGTCACGGAGGCCGATGCATATTCTGTCTCTTAGCATGTTGTCCCCGTCTGGGAAATCACACGTTGCTGCCAGAGATCGAAGGGCCGATAGATATTGGCTGACCGACTCGTCTGGCTTCTGACCGCGAGTGTAGAAATTGTACCGTTCACGGACAACATTCTGGCGGGGCACACAGAACGCCTCGAAGCGTGACACTAGCTCATCCAACCCTTGTTCTGCAGACCACCCAGAGAAATGAGAGGCGACTTCTTGTGCTTCACCACCTGCACAGTTGAGAAAAACGGCCACTTGGACGGCCTGGGGCTTGCCAGCGAGTTCGACAGCCACAGCGTAATTCTCCCATTCACGCCGCCAGGTCCGCCATCTTGATGCTAATTGCGGTGATGAAATCTCGAGCTCTGCCGGTGGGCGAAGATTCGACAGCATCGTCGGCACCTTTGTGTTACGTTAACTTCTGACACCATGTAACGTTCTTAAGATATCAGATAACGTAAGACGATGATATGTATTCAGTAATGTCAGATATTATACAGTACTGACCAACCCTAGCTCGGGTGTCTAACTCTACAACCCCTCCGGCTGCCGCGCCCTCACTTGCCGTCAACCACGAGTTCGCTTTTCTGCCGTTAGATGACAGCACGTCTCAGGACACTACAAATTACAATACGTCACACAATGGAGTCGAGTTCATACGAATGACACAGTCAACATATAAAATCCATTGAATTAATATTTAGTGACTCGGCTACTCAGGTCCAGAGATATAAGTATCGAAAAGATATTTTCAAATTTCTCATCTTTCAGAACTATTTCAAACACAAACTCTAGATTACTTTGCCAGGCATGTACACATTTTGATATTTCTAACAAGCTTTTGGTGTTGGATCTGATTGACATTGGGTTATCGCACGTCTTTCTAAACAGCAAAGGTGTAACATTGTTTGGAGGGAAAAATATGCGATTTTTTAATCTGCACGGCAATTATTGCACTCTGTCCTCGCCTAGCATCATTTCATTTTGATAATAAATAACCTCACGTGCGCACTGACACGCTCCACACATCGCCTGTCTCCACGAACGAGACGGGAGTCAAATAATACCCAACATGATCAGTGGCAGCCTCGCCTCCCACACCTTTCCGCGGATACCAACAGCCCGTGAGCACCACGCCAATCCACGCGGTGTGACGCAATAGCCCCCTATCTCCTTCACTCAGAAACCTTCTGGTCCGTATCTGAGTGCAGCAGCCGAGTGGCTAGAACGCCTCTCACAAACCTCCGAACAAGCTCTGCGGACCGGGGCGCTCTGAGGAGTGCCCCAGGAGCGCATCATCCAAGGACTTCGCCCTAGCCGCCCTAGCCTCCGCATCTCACTGCCGGTCACGACATTCTAGCAGCTACCGTCACTGCGCCGTCCGCTGCTAGTGCTGGAAGCTGATGCTGAGCTTGGAGGCGAGGAACTGCCACATCTTGAGGCCGAACCTGCTGATGGCGTCGTCGGCACCCACCGGGCAGGCGTGGTACAGCTTCTTGCACTGCCGGGCGCCGTTGTTGAAGCCCACCTTGGAGGCGGAGAGCAGCTGGTGGAGCCGGGAGTTGGTCTCCAGCATGGCAGCGCCGGCGCCGAGGTCCAGCGGCGCCAGCAGGATCTCGCTGGCCGGGAAGTAGTACTCGGGACTGGCGGCAATCTCGCACAGGATGCGCTGCTGGCACGGGCCCTCCGGAACCTGAGGGAGGAGGACCGCGGTCAGCGGGGGCTATCTGAAGGGGAGCAAGCGGCTATCCGGGGTAGTAAGCGGCACCAGAAGGGGCTGACTGCAAAGGGCAGCAGGGGCGCTACAGGGTCGTAAGGGGCACGGGCACCATAAAGACCTTCCTGCTCATTGATAGTGGCATATATTATCTATAGAGCTGCGAATGGTAAAATACGACTTGAGGTCAAATGTTCTTTATTGATTCCACGACCTGTGACGTCCATAAATAGGAGAGCTGTCATTGATGTTAACCATTGGCAACAGGCTGGGAACGTCAAACGATTTTTCAAATGTTCGTTCAGTCTTCATTCTACAGGGGAAAGAAAAGGAAGGTAAAACATAACATGCCACCTGTTTTCTTTCTCCCCTCTTGGCCTTCACTCCTTTCCTCCTCCTCCTCTCTCTCTCTCTCTCTCTCTCTCTCTCTCTCTCTCTCTCTCCTCTCTCTCTCTCTCTCTCTCCCTCTCTCTTTCTCTCTCTCTTGCTCTCTCCCTCGCCATAACCCTTCGATTCGCCAACGTATCTCCTTTCCCACACCTAACGCCTTTGATCTCATATCACGCCTGACTCCCTTTGAGGCGAGCTGATCTTCCTCTACACTCTGCCCTTCTCCTCCCCACTCTCTCCATTTCATCTTCAGACCTCTCCATGTCGAGACCACACGTGGTGCTCGCTCCTCGTTAACGTTCCGCACAACTAATCAAATCGGCCCAGTCGCTCGGTGGCGCTTCTCATCTCCTCTGAAATCACTCGAGGCTGATACTCGAGGCTCGTTAAAGCCCGTGCGGCTAACTGCCGGTCGCGACCCCAGGCCTGGCGCACGGTGGCTGCTAAACTGCCCAATCTGTATTCTAATACTGGTCAAGTGATGACCGACTAAGCGGCGGAGTTTCGGCTAAGTGATTGCCGTTGGCATTTGTGCTAAACTGTGGCGATTATGGCGCTCTGCATCCAGACGTCTGGAAATGGTCCACCAGACTCAGCGGAGAATCGCCGGCGGCGGTCTGCAGGGACAGTGTTAGGTCCGCCACCTTCGTCTCTCTCTCTCTCTCTCCTCTCTCTCTCTCTCTCTCTCTCTCTCTCTCTCTCTTCTCTCTCTCTCTCTCATCTCTCTCTCTCTCTCTCTCTCCTCC